GTGCGTGTGTGTGTGTGTGTGTGTGTGTGTGTGTGAATGTGATTTTTCCATGACAGTGCTAATGCTATTCTAGTCTTTCCTGGCGCAATGCAGCCTATTTTGGACTGATTCGTCACAAAGTAATGAGACTGTTTGAGCGTTCTTGTAGGAAAGACGAGAGCAAAATAATTAAATATTTGGAGAAAAAAGCCAGATTATTATAAGGGCAAGCGGGCTAACCCAGATTTCGGGGGTTTCCAAAAATCTCGACATACACCAAAAGTGGGCCTTGCCCTACCTATAGGAGAAGTTTGGTTTCATTGGTGTGTATATTCGTTTGATTATAGAGAAAACTCTCCTTGTCTTTTAAAGAAACTGAAAAAGGGATAAAACTTTACCTTCGATTTTCTCAAAACATCGGTTTTTTTCGGGATAGTCCCATATTGTGCTTAAAAGTGACCATTTTCTCGAAGACTGTAACATATTATAGACTAGATCTAACCCTTTTTGTATTTTTCCTCTCGTTTCATTCCAGTCAACGTTCTGTCTCTTCCTGGGTGCGTTCCGAGGACAAGTCACTCCCACAACTCGAATCAGTGATGGTGACATCTCCTACATCTTATTGCGGAAAGAAATGCTTCTGCTGCTGACGGTTTCGTTTTAGAAGAGGTTTTAAGGCGCTCGCAACTGCATAAGGTCATATGAGCGCCAGAAGATTAACTAGAGGCGTTACAAGAGAGTAAACAAACATAAGAAAAGAAGAGGGGGAGATGAGGACGATAGATCTTTGATAGGAAAGAAGAAGCAAACCACACCAGAGCACCCGCCAACCACCCACCCTGGACTGCTGACAGTTTGTTTCCGGACCAGTGACTCTTGCTGTAGTCACCCGAGATAGTAACAGTATTCGATAGTGGGATAAATCACTGCAACTGCAATACTGGACAGCGAGACAACTTGGACTGATCTCAGAGGATTTTCACTTTGACAAGAACTCTTGAATTCCTGCCACGCTGTATATATAACATGAATGTGTACTACTAGTCTGCTAATTCTTAGACTCCAGCCGCAGACAAACGGGTACGGTACCCGCTTCATCAAAGCCTGATCTCTAGCCGGCTTACAAACTGTGATTTCGGCACTGTCGTCTAGAGTCTCTGACCACCCCCCCCCAACAATCATGGCATCCGCCTACCTCGGCCCTGAAACACATCGGCCTCTGTCGGTGATATCCGAAAGTTTCCAGTCTCGGTACCGGATACCCA